GAAGTACCAGCAAGGACATAGTCTTTCCTGTTCACTGCCAGAGAGAGGCACTCAGAGTTCGGTGCTTTCCCCATCGTTTTAAGAGCTAGCATCATACCAGCGATTGAGGAGAATCCAAGGTGGTAAAAAGCTAAAAATCAAGGGTCTCTCATTAATCAGATAAATGGCCAACCAACTAACTGGTAAACAAACAGAAGATCTGTTACCTTTTTCTTGAGTAGTAATGACAAAAATAAGATTGCCCCACAGAGCTGTATGCAGACAAAAAAAGACAACAAACAAAAAGCCCTCTAAAATTTCCATTTCTTTTTCTCTATAATCTTTTCCACTTCAAACTTTTCCCAGAAACCTGCCCTAACATTAGATAAAAGCTCAGGACAGCGGTATGCTATCTTCAGGAAAAGGCAGAACAGTACTAACATACTCTCTCTGGTTCAACCAGTTCAAACCCAAGGAAGAACTGGGCCCTCTTCTAGTCATCAGGGGCCTTGTAGTACTGAACACACTAGAAAAAGCGAAACACAATTCACCCTGAAGGTGGCAGGAGGTCACTCACTCACTCATTCTACACATCATGAACACCTACTCTGTGCAAGGCACTTTACATTATTAAAGTCCTTGTCGAATAATGTTGTTTGAATCACCCATGGGTCTGTTTCTTTGCTGTTTCTTTAAAAATCTTATCTTCTTTTCTGGTGTGTCAGGTTATTGTTTTGCCCTGGCTATTTTTTTTTTTTTTTTAATTGTGGTAAAATATATGTAACAAAGTTTTCCATTTTAACTGATTTTAAGTATGCAATTCAGTGACATTACATTCACCATGTTGTGCTACCATCACCTCTACCAATTTCCAAACATTTTACATCACCCCAAATAGAAACTCAGTATCCCTTCAGCAGCTACTCGAATTCCCTTCTTCCCCTGCCCCTAGTAACTTTTGTCTCTATGCGTTTGCCATTCTAGTTATTTCATGTAAGTGAGATCATACAGTATGTGGTCTTCTGTGTCTGAATTACTTCACTCAGCATAATGTTTTCAAGGTTCATCCATGTTGTTGCATGTATCAGAATTTAATTTCTCTTTATGGCTGAATAATATTCCATTATATGTATATGAGCTCCATTTTGTTTATCCATTTATCTTGTTGAGGGACACCCGGGTTGTTTCCACTGTTTAGCTATGGTGAATAATGCTGAAATGAACATTGATGTACTCATATCTGTTTGAGTCTGGCTATTTTTGACTCAGTGCCATTGTAATTTGAGGTCTATGATAGCCTCTTCCCTCAAAGGGAGGCAGTGAGAAGTACCGACCAATCAGCATGGATCACCTTACCCCACTGTCAAGGACTGAAATGATCTGAAGCTGGGCTTTAGTCCCTGGGAAATCTCATCTGTTTTCAGTTCACCTTTATTCTCAGGGTATAGTCCTTTGATTCCCAGTCGAAAATATGGAGGTTTACAGGGTACCCTCTTTCCTGGTGGGCAATAGTGTACAATTTTTGTTCCTGCTGTACAACATCACAAGCTCTGCTCAGCTTTTAGCCTCCCACCTGCCTCTTCTAAAGTTGGCTGATGTCCCTAAGGGGAATCCATTCAAATGCTGGGCTCATCTCTCTGAGACTATTCCTTCTAGATCTTGACAATGTAATTCTTCACTGCCTTGTAAGGTCTTCAACACCTTCAAATATATATTTCTTATTTCTGTTTAGCTTTCCTGGTTGTTCTCAGCATGAGCATTTGTCTGAATTACATGTTTATTGTTGCTGAAACCCCTGCGATCAGTGCTTCATTTAAATTGTCTCAAAATGTAGTAGCAGGAATGCTTTGGCCTCTTTTGAAGCTTCTTATTCAATGACTTTCAAGTGGTGGGCTGAAAAATCAATTTCCTCAGTGGATGGAAGGCTTAGCTTCATTTTAACTGAGGATGCATTTTAAAAGAGTAAAAGTAACAATCAGACTTAAGAAAGGATCCACGACAGTAATCCACTGTACTTATCTTCCTTAGTCAATGATACATTTAAAGTTAAAAGTCCTGGCCTGATAAAGTTAAAAGTAATTGGTGTAGTGATGTTGGAAGCCTGAGGTAAAACTGGTAGCCAAGCAAAGAACTTATACAGATCAATAACCCATACAAGGAGCAGTGTTTGAGTTCATTTGTAGACCAACAGTTTTCAAAACATGGATCCTGTATCAGCAGTTTCATACAGTACCGTCTAGGAATGTGTTAGAAATATAAATTCACAGGCTCCACCCTAAACCTACTAAATCAGAAACGCTGGGGTAGGCCCAACAATCTGTGTTTTAACAAGTCTTCCAGGTGATTCTGATGCACAATGACATTTGAGAACTGCTTATATAGACACTGGCTCCATCATAAGCACAGATGATTATCCACACAAAATGCTCGTACACTCCCAGTTGTATAAATAGTAAACAATGCCTGTGAAAAGTCATACTCTCAAGGGTCACTTTCCTCACCATTAACTGACAGTGTTGAGAATAAGTAGTGTAGAACAGTACTGAAGCTCTGTTAATTATTTCCTCTTACATTCCCCATGCTTTTCTGGAATAAACAACCAAAGACATACTGAACTGATCCTGAGGTAGTTCCCAGTGGCCCTTTCTCTCACATACATAGCTCTCTCCTCCTCCGCCCATGCTCGGGGCATTAAACGCACTGGTGGTGCTCAAGCCTAAAGAGCTTTCCAAGCTTTGCTACAAACCATGTGAACCCCATAAAACATACACACAATATACAAATAGTTCTGTTATTTATTTATTTTGAATAAAAAAGTGACCAAGATAACAATACTAGTGGCTCTGCATACAAAACACAACATATCCAAGGTTATTTCACATTTACAAAACTGCCATTATGTACAGCACTAGATATTCACAGGAACTTTATTAAGACTCTAAGTACTAGAATCATACCAGCAATTGAGGAGAATCCAAGGTGGGGAAAAGCTAAAAATCAAGGGTCTCTCATTAATCAGACAAATGGCCAACCAGCTAACTGGTAAACAAACAGAAGATATCTGTAACCTTTTTCTTGAGTAGTAATGACTAAAATAAGATTGCCCCACAGAGGGGTATGCAGACCAAAAAAAAAAAAGACTACAAACAAAAAGCCCTCTACAATTTCCATTTCATTTTCTCTACAATCTTTCCCACTTCAAACTTCTCCCAGAAACCTGTCCTAACATTAGATAAAAGCTCAGGACCCTGGTATGCTATCTTCAGGAAAAGGCAGAACAGTATTAACATACTCTCTCTGGTTCACCCAGTTCAAACCCAAGAAAGAATTCGGCCCTCTTCTAGTCATCAGTGGCTTTGCAGTACTGAACACACTGGAAAAAGTGAACCACGATTCATCCTAAAGGTGGCAGGAGGTCACTCACTCACTCATTCTATAAATCATGAGCACCTGTTCTGTGCAAGGCACTTTATATTAGGTGCTGCAGGAACCACAAAGATGAAACAGACAGTCCCTGCCCTTGAGGAGCTTACAATCTAATAATAAAAACTATGTACATATACACAATGGAGAGAAGCAGCCAATTTTTCTGGATGGAGGATATTCCAAACAAAATGTGTTACTATTCTTTAAGTTTTTTATTTAAATAGTAATTAAGTCTCAAACACACTCCCTAATCAGATGATAAGAATTTAAAAACCATCTCCCTTCTACAACCTTAAGTTTTTAGATGACTGTTCCATTTATTTCAAAAATGTCATACTTAAACATATAATTCAAAGCCAAGCACAAAGATCAGCACAAGCATTGTATAATGTATCACTATACACAACAGAAACTTATTTTCCTATAGTTTTCTGTATAAACAAGTTTGATATTTGCTTTCCTTTTATACACTGAAGTACAAATATGAGCCCTCGCCTTAAAAAAGACATAATACTTAGGACATTCTGCATTAGTACCAAAAAAAAAAAAGTATCCCCTAAATCCTACCAGCTGCTAGCCAAATGTAAAATTGGTAATGCCTCAAATGAAATGTCTCAAAGCCACTACTACCTTTAACACTGTCTAATATGACCGTTTTAAAAGACCTGTTTCTTTACTAAAGTAATGGGATTTCCTAAAAACAACTTTTTATCTTAAAAATAAATATAAGATTTAGAGTTCTGAAATTTAATTCTATCCAATCCATTCACAGTATTTCGATTAGATAGCCTACACTTTATTATTTCAGCATAAGAGTTATCATCTTTCCCTTTTTTCAACTCTTCCCAAGCCTGGACTGAATAAATAAACTTGTTATACTCTCGGACATGTTGGTAAACATATACTATTGCTCTAAATGGACACACTGACTAGTGCCCCATATTTTGTATTAGGTCTCTCTCTCCCTTAGAGAACAGCTATGATTCAAGGAAAATTAAAGATAAGAGAATCTGAACCCCCTAATCAGATAAAGAGATTGGAGGAGAGATATTCATATACCAAAAGGTTAACCTCTTTCACGGGACATCTTTAAATAGTCATTTCCCTATTAAATCCAATTATTGATTTCCACAGCAAATTTTCTGAAACAGCCCTGTCTTAAATTATATCTGCAGATGGGAGGCTGCTCATATCTGTAGGACACAGTCTAGCTAACAATTCCTGATACTGATTTCTATCTGTACCATGGAAACGAGTTCACAATCTTCTGAAAAACCCTGCTGCTACACAGGGTAGAGTGACACCGCAGGACTTTACATAATGAGAAGCAACTCTATATTCTGTAAATTTGGCTTAATTTGGTTTAAGGGTAGTCAAATTTCACATGCCCTCGATTTAGGTTGAATCACAGATACATTAGCAGACAAGAAGCAGATCTTTACTTTACAAACTTCTTTTAGCTTCAAGAAAGATCACTTCCAAGTTTAATAACTATGAGAACCATGAGCCATAGTCCTAAAACTGCTTGAGGCTGCCAGCTGATGCTTTCATTAATAACCACAACAAAACCAATTCACTTCAGTTAGGTCCTTTACAGGCTGTTTTTTTTTTTAAAATTCTGACAATCTTGAGAGGAAAAGTTAGGTTCCTGAGACATTTCCCTGTTTCACTGAATTCCACCAACACACCAAAGAACAATGTAAGAGCATAAGGATACACCCACAATGACTTAAGGAAGTCATGCAGGGACTCAAAACAGTACATGGTGGGCTAGCTGGAAGACATTTAACAGGCTTTATTTGTCAGGCTTTTGCTGTTTGTGCCGCCCAATTTCTAAAAAGAAAAAAAGGCAGAACATACTCTCCCCTTAAAAAGAAAAAAAGGCAGAACATACTCTCCGCTTAAAAAGAAAAAAGTAGGCCCACTGCCTGAATATAACCCATTCAGTTTAGCTTTAACCGTAATTTCTGCTTGTCAAGAATAGTAATTGGTTTGGGGAGAGGGGGCCGGTGGTGGTAAGATGCTAAAATTGAGCCATTTCCTAGCCTGAAGTCTAACCAACCAGTTAGTGAGCACTCTGACAAGGAAATTTTATAAACAGTTTTGAAAAAAACCACCAGATACAACTTACCAAGTTGTTAAAAACTAACATTATTATGTTTAGAAAGAACTGTAACTGTTAAATCTTTCTAGGAAAGAAGACTCATTACATGATTTAGCTTCTAGCAATGTCATCATTCATCTGCTTTTCTTTCAAATGTGCAATGTTAGCTTGAACGTGTGCTAGAGCTGACAGAACTAAAGAATGCAAGTTAAGAGTGCCGCTTCCGGAAGAAAAAGCAAGAGAGAGAGGTCGGGGCAGAAGGAATGGACAAACCCTGTGGAAATCAATCAGGGGCATTAATTCCTGGTTCTGTTCCAGGAATTGCAGCTCTTCACCAGACTCTGAGGCGGTTCAACTGCTGCAATGGGAGCAGGTGCTCTGTAAAACCAGCGTCGTATTCCTCCTAATGAGCACCAGTAAGCATCGATTTTTTTTTTGTCCTATCTGATACTACTGTAATTACAACAGAATGCATTTTAATATTTAATCATTACCCTTTAACATGGTTTTAACCTAATTAACCTGTTGAACTTGCTAAAAGGTCCAACCCACACGCTACAACATTAACATTCTCAAAAACTTCTTAGAGGGAGAAGCAGAAAAATGTCACACTCAACAAGGAGCTTTACCAGTGGTTCTAATAACTTTTGACACTGAAAAATAATTGGTAGTTTTGGCACATATAATAGTAGGTAGAGAGCTTGAAGTCTGGGTGGTGGACACATGAGGATTTCAGAATGAATATCAAGCATAACAAGCTATCAATTTCTTATCTAGAATAATAGGAACAAATTAACCCCAGGCAAAGAAAGTGTGATATATATGTGGATATCAGACTCCCAAAATGCAACAGTGTTATAGTTTAAAAGGTCTAATTTTATAATCTTTCCTTCTGCACTTTAAGTGCAGTACAGCAATATCATTTCTATTTCTTCCACTCCTGAAATATTTATTACAGTTAAAGCTGAAATAAATATGAAATACACTAAACTAATCAGGCAAGTTTTATGAAGGTAGACAGGGTGTGATAACTTTAAACTAGATGCAATTTAGTCTAAAGATTCCTGGTGTCATTCCCACTTTTCTAATGTTTCACTGGCCAATCTGTCCCTTGGAAGAATCAGTACTCCATCATCAAGTCTGCTGACGCTTAGAGAAATTCAGAAGCACACTGTGTTTGTGACATTGCTACTAACTCAACATCTCCTCACAGGTCATTGAATGAACCTCCATGGATTGGAGGGCTAAGGGGAAGATAAGGAAGGCCAACCAACTGGGTATGTAGAAATTTGGGCTGAGGCAGGTGCTGACTGGATTTCAGAGTGTGAAGAAGGCCATTGGGCCAAAGACAGTCAATGTTCTAGAACAGCACTCTTATGTACAGTAGTAAGATAGTTGCCATGTTTATTCCTACATTGATACATAAAATAATTCAGGAGATCCTTTTTAGTTAACTCCTAATAGTTAAATGTTCACAAAAATGCACACCTGCTTTAAATAAAAACTCAATGTAAGTTTTAAATGGAGCAGCACAAAATTCTCACCTACTAACTGATTAGGAACAACAACAAAAAACCAAACTAAGCATGCCATGATTACTAAAACTGAAACAGTTCCTTGACATGATCTCAATTTTTACTGTCATACTTCTTGTAAAGTGAAACAGCTATAGGCACAAACTTCAACCATACGACCTTCGGTATTGTGTTATTCATGATTATAATGCTACTTAGCTCCCTTTCTTGAAAAGCAATTTAATACGCTGGACCCAAAAGTCTGGATAAATACTATTCTTGAAATTATCACAAAATGATAAGAAGACTTCAACAAATACACAATTAAACACAGGAATCTAAACAAGAATTTTGAATAGAAAACAAAACACATTTCAAAGCAGGTTGTTTGGAAGTGCCTCGATGCCTCTTAGGGGCTCTTGTTTATTAACGGCGGCAGGAAGAATACAAGTGCAGTGTGATAGAAATAGAGGCTTCTTACAGTGCTATCCAACTCTCAAGATGTTATTTCTAAAGTGAGGACAAAATTTCTTTCACCAAGGTTACAAGATAAAAGCAGGAAATTGTTAGAATAAGGCAAGAAAGATGAACAGCATGAAATATGATTTAAGAAATTCACATTTTGTATTTCCCATCCAACTTTGCAGAAGTATGTACCACTTCAAGATGTGTGCACCACTTCAAGATGTGTGCACTACAGTCCTGTTAATTAGCACCAATCTCTAGGACACTACTTAAAAAATCCAAGAACACTGTAATTCCAGAATGTCTATTTTAGGTTTTAAGAGCAATTACCTTCTGATGTCTCCTTTTAATTGCCCACAGAAAAATGCACGTATTACAAACATCAAGGAACTTTACAGAAGGAAGAAATCCCCAGGCTCTGTTCAACTGAGCTGCACATACTCTTAACAACAGAGCTCAAGGGTTTCCACTTCTGAGCTGCCCATCTCTCTCCAGAAGTCTCTAGGCAGGGTCTCTGTATACTCCTACACTAGACATTAAATGAAACCTGTCTGGATATGTCAACACTAAAAAATACTAAGAAGTTTTAATACAAGAGTGATTTTCTTTCTTTTTTTCAAAAGCCTATGTACAAACATCTCATCCAGATTAAATTTTAAGCAAGGATATGACATGGGTGAATTACAATACCTGACATAAATATGAAAGAGTTGGGTCAGGAAGTCTGATGACATGGGAACTAATTAAAAACAAGTCACAACTATTATAATAGTTAACTGATCATTTGACACGTTAAAACCAATTTTAGTCTTTGCTTCGACTTCTTAAAAACAGAAGAGATTTAGGAAAATATTTTCAATGTGCATGAAAAACAAGAATTGATGGGATAGAGATTTCTGGCTATTTACTGAGAACAAAATTTCTGACCCATATATTGTTTTAGTCACTTTTAGTATCTGTTGGTACACTGAATGCCACATACCAGGGAATTTAAGCTCTCTGGAGCAACAAGGCAGTTCCAGACCAAAACAAGACGTAAAACCTAACTCAGCCCAGCAAAGGCCTTATCCAAACTCTCTAGAAGAGATCATTCTATTCCTAGAAATGATAGGACGTTCTTTCTGTTCAGACTGCTTAAGTCAAGACACTTAAAAAATAAGTATTCATTGGGTAAGGAGTTGGGGGGCTATGTTCATCTCAAAATTACTTAAAATCTCTGTATTCAGTCATTCTGTGATATCCTTTAGTCCCTGGAGATAGAGAATGTACTTCAGAGATGAGTTCCCAGTGTCCTATTTACAAATATGAAGAGTGCCTTCCACTTGTGAAGGTCAGGCTTACGCCAGAGCATCCTTTCTCTTTAGACTGGAGGACGTTTTCTACAGCACAGTACATGCCCTTTCCATCTTCCCACCACTGACATTTAGAAGACAGGAGAGTCACAGAAAGGGCAGGGGCTCTGCAGTAACCTCTTAATCCAGTCAGGATCTGTAAAAGGAAGACAAGGGGTATCAAGGGTTAGCTTCAGAAAAGGCAGTACAATGAAATGGGACGAGTATTGGTCTGCAGTGTGAACAGACCAGTATTCTGATCCCAGCTCTGCAACTAATTAGCTATTGTCCCTGAACAAAGTGCTTCACTCCTCTGAGCTTCAGTTTCTACCATTCTAAAAGAAGAGGCTGGACAAAATCTGTGGTTCTCAAAGCTAAGTTTGTGATGAAATTTCCATCCCTCTATGATGGAATAGGAAAATAAACGTAATGTAATGAGTGTTTCAAAAAGCAAAATTTATTCCATTTAAAGAAAGGATTATGCTTTATTCTGAGATTATATCCTTCAAACATTGTTAGCGTTAAAATATTCTTGTATAAAATAATAGGAAGTTCTTTTTAAATGCCACTACTTGGAGAAATAAAAAGGTGGCAACACTGGGTCAATACCTCCCTGGTCTGTGAAATGCAGACATCTGAGAACCACTCTCTAAATCCAGTACCTCCTCATTCTTCCCAAAAGTTGCATGTGGCTCAGCTTAAAGTCAATTGGCAGGTTTTTTTTGTTTTTTAAGTTTCCATTTTTCCCAGATTTCCTGCCCAAATAGTATATCAATTCTCAAATGAAGTGAGTTTTAAAAAAATTCTCAACAATTTGCTTCAAAATAATCCAAGAGAAAGAAGTGGGTGGGGGAGTAGATGAAACAAAAAATGGCCATGAGTTGGTAAGTTCTGAAGTTGAGGAAACGGGGGCATAAAGGTTCATTATACTCTTCTCTCTACTTTTGTATGACTGCAATTTTCCACAATAAAAAGTTAAAACAGAACACCAGTTGCCAATACACCAACTTCTTAGAATCAGAAAGCTTCAGCCAGTTTAGAGCAAGAATATGCATGCAGTTTTATATAGAATATTTTTTGTTTTAGTTAATTGAGACCACAAATTTCCCCCAAAACGTGTACTTGATTGTACATGCTTGAGTCTAGTTAGCTCATTTGGTGAGAGTGTGATGTTAATGAGCCTAAGATCATAAATTTGACATTTGTATGGCTATTTAAATCTCTTCATTCCTTAATGACATGTGCACTCTTACTTCCAACTAGTTATATCTATTTTAATACTAACAAAAATGTGTGCTTTGTTACCAGGGCTATTAGGAAAGAGAATATAAATGAACTAGAAAAAAAATCTATCATGGCTACTGAACAATGACTCCAAGTGCATATCCTATTACTGGTTCAGCAATGTTGTCTTTGTATTCAATTTCATTTGTAGAGCTTTCATTCAAATATAATCCATATATGCCTTCTAAAACAAGCTCTGACATTTTTTTTGAATGAATAATATGTTTGCAGTGACAGAACAGCAAACTGCAGATGCACTTTAACTCACATACTAAACATGCAATATGGACTTTAACACGACTCCTTCCAATTACGAATTTTTAATTAGTGCTCTGGCTTCAAGATAATACTGTAAACAGCAAAACGAGCCTGCTCCCCGTCCCTGACTGCATAAACTAAGCAGTGCGAGCCTGACCCAAGTCATTATTCTGAGGCACTGGCACTGTGCCAGCATGCTCAATCTCATCCTCCCAAGCCTGGGAGAGCATTCACCTTCTGGAGCTGGATGTCGGGCAATGCTGTCATGGAGCAAACACCTTCTGTATATCAAACTCTGGCAGGACTGGTAGGTTAAAAAGCACCTGAAAGAAGACAGATTGTACTGTCAAGGGAGAGAGTTTGCTCTGGTTCTACCGAAACAGAGGAAGCAGCATGATGTTGGAAGGTAACTTCATCACAGTTAATTATTCCAAAATCACACATAAGCAAAATGAGACAGCAAAAATTACTCCCCAAGTTCATGGTAAAATGAATGGGGAAGTAAAGAGGAAGTGGCTGTGTCATAGTACTAGGGTAAGGGATACAAAACTACTAATTTAGTCACTGCAGCTTCTTTTTTGTCCGTATTTTCAGCACTGGGAAAGAATTTATTCCGTCCATAGTTGACTGTACTTTGAATACTTGATAGGTTAAAAAGAAATCGATCATGTATTATTTGAAAAGAAGAGAACATTATTCTTGTTAGTAATTTTAAGAAACTGACAATATAGTGGGACAAAAATGATGGGAGAAAAAGGTAGGACATTAATAAATGTTCATATACAGGAATACTCAGTTCCACCCAATGACCATTCACCGAGCACCTAGCAAGACCAGGCAAGTAGTTAGATGGGATCGATATAGACGGCAAAGGGTGCATTTGGATACATCAAGAAGGTTTTCCAAAAGATAAAGGGTTTGAGTTGAGCAAGTAAAGAGCAGAAACATATAAAGAAGAAGGAGGGCTGCGGGGAGGGATTCCAAGTAGGTCTACCTTAAATAAAGACTTGGGTATCCAGGGAGAAAGATTATATCTGAGTGGCAGCAAGCACCCATTTTCACATAAAGAAATTATACTGAACATTTGGGCACTAACTTTAATCAGCAAAAATAAAAATAATTTTTGTGAAAGAACGCATTTGAAAGGCATTAATGTGCAGTGGTTACAAATGTGAACTCTGGAGCCAGAACGTTGGGTTCTTAGCTGCCACTAACCTCCTGGGTGACTATGGGCACGTTTTTTAATCTCCTATGTCCCAGTTTCCTCAAAACAGAAAGAGTCACAGTGCCTACTATGCATGGTTACTGTGAGGATGCAGTAACTTAACACACATGTGTATTGCTTAGAATAGTGCCTGGCACATTGGTAGTGCTCAATAAATGTTAGTTGTTGTTATTATTATTACAAACCCAAAATCTAAATTTCCCCATTAAAAAAAGCCAAATTAGAAAATGTGTAGAAATGCAAAAAAATTGAGAAAAACCTAAATATCCATCAATAAGGGAGTAAATTATGGAACATCCATACAATGGAAAACCATAGTCATTAAGAATGGGGAAAATGTCCACAATATTTTGATAAGAGAATTAGCAAGCTGCTAAAGACAGTATAGTATGTGTGGCACAATCCTGTTTCTGTTGAAAGTAATAAAAATTCATTTAGTCCTCCTCTCCCCTCCTCCAAAAAAAAAATTGCTAAACGTCAATCATGTACCAGGCAATGTTCTAGAAAGAGCTGTGAACAAAACAACAAAATTCCCTGTCCACATGGAGCTTTCTAGAGGAGGGAGAAAAAAACAAAAAGTAAAAACAACAGTTATGTTAAATGGTGATAACTGCAAGGAGGAAAACAAAGCAAGGAAGAGAGATGGACGATATTGTGAGAGTAGGGGGAGGTCAGCAGAATGCTCTAATTTTAGGCCAGGGGCAGCCTCACTGATATAGTAACATTTGAGGAAGCAACATGGACATCTGCACGAAGAGCCTTCCAGGCAGAGCGAGTGGCCAGTGCAGTGGTCCCAAAGTGGGAGTGGTGCCTCATGTACCAAGGAACAATGAGGCCAGTATGCCTGGAGGGAAGTGAGTAAGAAGAAGAAAAGTAAGAAATAAGGTCAGAGAGGGAAAAAGGATTAGTAGGTCACTGAAAGAATTTTCACTTTTTCTCATCAGAAATGGATAGCCACTGGAGGGTTTTGAGTAGAGAGGTGACATGAGCTGACAAAGTGTTAACAGGATCATGATCATGATCACAGCTGTACTGAGAACAGACTGAAGGGGGCAAGAATGAATGAGAAGAACAGTTGGGAGACAACTACAACAATCTAGCAAGAGACAGTTGTGTCTTGGACCAGGGTTAGAGAGGCGAAAGTGGTGAGAAAAGGCTGGATTCAAATTAGAAATGCCTATTAAAAATCCAAATAGAAATACTGAGTAGACAATTAGATATCTAAATTTGGATTTAGGGTGTATGATTCAGGCTAAAGCAATATTTTTAAGTCACCAGTGTACATGTGATATGTGAGCACCAAGGGAGAAGTGTACAGGGAAGGAAAAAAAGGCCGAGGACTGACTTCAAGGAGATGAGGAAGAACCAGCAAAGATGACTGAGAATGAAAAATCAGAGGTAGGGAGAAAACCAGGAGAGTACTGTGTCCTGGAAGCTAGATGATGAAAATGCCTCAGGGAGGAAGGAATGATTTATTGTGTCAAATGTAGCTCATAGGTCGAGTAAAATGAGAACACACCAAGGTTACCTTGGACAGTGAGATTGAGGGAAGTAGGGGGGCTTTTACCTTTCATGCACTTTTATATTCCATTAACTTTAACATGTATTACTTTTTAATAATTTTTTAAAAATTAATGTTATTTCAATAGCAAAAAGATGGAAACAACCTAGATGCCCATCAACAGATGAATGGATAAACAAATTATGGTACATACACACAATGGAGTACTATGCAATGATAAAGAACAATGATGAATCTGCGAAGCATCTCACAACATGGATGATTCTCGAGGGCATTATGCTGAGGGAAGTAAGTCAATCACAAAAGGACAAATATTGTATGAGACCACTACTATAAAAACTCATGAAAAGGTTTACACACAAAAAAGAAACAATCTTTGATGGCTGCGAGGGAGGGGAGAGGTGGGGATGGAAAAACACTAAATAGACAATAGATAAGTGGTACCTTTGGTAAAGGGTAAGACAGTACACAATATTGGGGAAGCCAGCACAACTTGTTCAGGGTAAGCTCATGGAAGTTCCATCGACACATCCAAACTCTGAGGGACCAAATTACTGGGCTGAGGGCTGTGGGGACCATGGTCTGGGGGAACATCTAGCTCAACTGGCATAACATAGTTTATAAAGAAAATGTTCTACATTTTACTTTGGTGAGTAGTGTCTGGGGTCTTAAAAGCCTGTGAGCAGCCATCTAAGATACTCCACCGGCCTCACCCCTTCAGGAGCAAGGGAGAATGAAGAAAACTAAAGACACAAGGGAAAGATTAGTCCAAAGGACTAACGGACCACAACTACCACGGCCTCCATCAGACTGAGTCCAGGACAACTAGATGGTGCCTGGCTACCCCCACTGACTGCTCTGACAGGGATCACAGTAGAGGGTCCCGGACAGAGCTAGAGAAAAATGTAGAACAAAATTCTAATTCACAAAAAAAGACCAGATTTACTGGCCTGACACTTGGGAAACCCCGAGAGTATGGTCCCCACGTACCCTTTTAGCTCAGTAATGAAGTAACTCCTGAGGTTCACCTTTCACTGAAAGATTAGACAGCCCCATAAAACAAAACAAGACTAAAGGGGCAACCACCCCAGGGGCAAGGACTAGAAGGCAGGAGGGGACCGGAAAGCTGGTAATAGGGAACCCAAGGTCAAGAAGGAAGAGTACTGACATGTCGTGGGGTTGTTAACCATTGTCATATGTGTACTAACTGTTTAATGAGAAATAAACTAGTTCTGTAAACCTTCATCTAAAGTACAATTTAAAAAAAAATTAATGTTATTTCTAAGTAAATCAGTATTACCAAAATAAATAAGGAAACCCCTATCAAGCGGTAAAACTGTCTTTTAAAGGGCATCCTTCCTGCTTTAGCTACACTGATGATAATCAAAGTCCAGGCCAGTTTTTATAATAGCAGTTTTTCTCCAACATAGAGAAACGAGTAACATATATTTTAGATACATAAATCTTTACAGTGGTGGTTTGTGGGATACGAAACTGAAAAGTGAACACAAACAGAGCATGCTTAAAATGGTTTACCGGAGCCAAATGTGGCCATTGGAACAGACGGCTTGTTTTCGATCTGTGAATGGCAAGATCTCTTTACACAAACTACAATGCTCAGGGAAAGTCTGTTTGTTCATCTTCTTTGAGATATGTCCAATCAGCACCTAAAAAGACAAAGCAGTCAACAATGCTTAGTGGTGAATGCAGGATTTCCTGAAGAAAAAGCCTAACACAAAGGAAAAATGAAACAAATAAATATGCAGTGTTGTAGAAGAGATAAGAGATTTGTATTTCTACATAGGCTGATCTAAAAAGTTATAAAGCAAAACAGCTAGACTTTTCACTGTGTCAACTGGCTGAATACAATGAATTCACTCAGGGATCATGTAACAACAGTGTGAACCATACCACTAAAGGAACAACTATTGTGAAAATCAACATCTTATTACTTGCCTCATTTTAGTTGCTTCTGAAACAAGGACTTCAGAGTTCTGCTATAAGACAAAGTATTTAGCTATAATTTATGTTTTGATTTAAAAAAGGAAAAGCATAATCTCTATATGCAAAATATCATGTGAAACACTGTTATCTTTGTAGAACTGTTGTTGTTAACTGCCATTGAGTCAGCAGCCTCCGACTCATGGTAACCCCACGCACAATGGAACAAAACACTGCCTAGTCCTATGCCATTCCCATGATTGGTTGCTAATCAGACTGTTGTGATCCATGGGGTTTTCACTGGTTGATTTTTTGGAAGTAGATCACCAGGCCTTTTTCCTAGGCCGTCTTATTAGTCTGAAAGCTCTGCTGAAACCTGTACAGCATCATAGCAACCCGAAATCCCCCACTGACAGACTGGTGGTAGCTGCACATGAGGTGTATTGGTCAGGAATAGATCCTGGGTCTCCCATGTGGAAGATGAGAAGTCTACCTTGGAAACACTAATATCCCCTTGTACAACTGTACAAATGTCTTACTCCTTAAAGAAGGCTTACAAAATAAAAAGAAATTCAGGATTTTAAAAGTAATTTTAATTTCACATTAAATGGCCCAAAGACCCATAACTGACCTAGTCTAGTAGTCTGCAATCTAAGTTCCCCTGTTGCTCACTGCAGAGGGATGTCAGAACCCACTGCGGGAGTGGGGAGGTGGTGGTGAGAGAGGTCAACAAGGCCCTGCATTTTTGCTTTTATCTGCTTTATTAGGATTGTATTACTTTAAAAAAACATTGATCTACTTCATTATTTTGTTGAAAAACACTTCACTGGATATATCAACAGGCATGAGATAAACTAACCCTTAAGACCTATCTTCTCTTTTTTTTTTTAAATTGAGTTTCTGGTGAAGTTTACACAGCAAGTTAGGTTCCCACACAACAATTTCCACACAACTTATTCATTCACATTAGTTACATTTATCACAATTTGTCAACATTCTCTGTGTCTATACCCACCCATATGTGCTCATTCATTTTTACTTTTGTTGTACTGTGCTCCCTATGTCCACATTCGGTGCCACTTTCCCATCACCAAAAATTACAAGTCTCTAAGGTCTAAAGGGTACTTTCCCCTCCCCCTCTTCCTGGTAACCACTGGTCTCTCTGTATTTATCTGTTCTTGTTTTCTTACAAAAGAGAGAGTATACATTTGTCCTTATGTACTTATTTCACTTAGCATTATGCCCTCCAGGTCCAACCGTGTTATGTTTCACGGACTCTTCACTGTTCTTTATAGTTGTGTAGTGTTCCACTGTATGTATATATCACAATTTCCTTATCCATTCATCCCGATGGGCACTTCAGTTGTTTCCATGTATTTGCTACTGTTAATAGAGGAGCAATGAACATAGGTATGCATATGTTTGTCCGTGTTATTATTTTTAGGTCTCTAGGGTATATACCCAGGAGTGGGATTGCTGAATAATAGAGTAGTTCTATTTCTAGTTTAAGAAAGCGCCATATTGTTTTCCATAGTGGCTGTAGCATTTTACAGTCCCACCAGCAATGGATAAAGATTCCAATCTCCCCACATCTCATCAACATTTGTTGTTGTTGTTTTTAAATCAGTGTCATTTTGCCCAGGGTAGGATGGTATCTCATTGTACTTTTGATTTGCATCTCTCTGATGACTAATGATCGTGAACATCTTTTCATGTTTGCTGGCTGCTTGGATGTCCTCTTTGGGGAAGGTTTTATTCATGTCCTTTGACCATTTTGATTGGGCTGTCTTTTGTTGTTGAGGTGTGGCAGTTTTCTATAGATTTTAGAGATTAGCTCCTTAAAGGATAAGTCATTTCCAAAGATTGTTTTTTCCCACTCTATTGGTTGTCTCTTTACTCTTGCAATATAAAAGAGTCTTTTGATGAGCATAGGTTTCTAATTTTTGAGGTCCCATGTATCTATTTTGTCTTCTTCTAGTCTTGCATTTGTTGTAGTGTTTGTTATCATATTTTTACAAAAGATTAGGTCCTCTACTTTTCTACCTATTTTTTTTCCCCAGGAATTTTATGATTTTAGGTTTAACATTTAGGTCTTTGATTTAGAGTTTTGTGTGTAGTGTGAGGTATGGGTCCTGTTTCATTTTTCTGCTCTGCAGGTGGATATCCAGTTTTGCCAGTACCCCTTATTAAAGAAACTGTTTCTGCCCCACTGAATGGACTTTGACTCCTTGTTGAATATCAGTTGTCTATAGATGTTTGGGTTTAGTTCTGAGTTCTCAATTTTATTCCACTGGTCTATGTGTCTATCGTTGAACCAATACCAGATTGTTTTGATTACAGTGGCTGTATAGTATGTTTTGGTATCAGGGAGTGTAAGGCCTCCTCCTTTGTCCTTTTTCTTCAAATATTACTTTGGCTATTCAGGGTTTCTATCCTTTCCATATGAAGTTGGTCATTCGTTTTTCCAATTCAGTAAAGAATGCTGTTGGGATTTATATTGGGATTGCACTGTATCTGTAGATCGCTTTAAGTAATATTGACATTTTAACTATATTGTCTTCCATGAGCACGAGATGTCTTTCCATTTTTGTAGGTCTCTTTTAGTCTCTTGTAGTAGTTTTTTTTTTTTTTTTTAATTGTGATTTAAGTGAACATTTACAGAGCAAATTAGTTTCTCATTCAAAAAGTTACACACAAATTGTTTCGTGACATTGGTTGCAATCCCCACAATATGTCAGCACTGTCCCCCTTTCCACCCAGGGTTCTGTTTCTATTCGTCCAGTTTTTTTGTCATTTCCTGCCTTCTCAGTTTCGCTTTGGGGCAGGTGTTGCCCTTTTGGGTCTTGTATACTTCACTGATCTAAGAAGCACACTCCTCACGTTACCGTTTTATAGAAAAAAAAAAAAAAACAAAACAAACCATTGCCACTGAGTCAATACCAACTCACAGCGACTCTACAGGATGGAGCAGAGCTGCCCCATAGGGTTTCCAAGGTGTGGCTGGTGGATTCGAACTGCCGATCTTTTGATTAGCAGCAGCTTTTGGCTGAAAGGTGAACTTCGGGAGTGGCTTCAGTTCTGAGTTAGCAGGGTGTCCAGCACCCAGTCTTGGAGGTTCCTCCAGTCTCTATCAGACTGGTTAAGTCTGGTCTTTGTGAATTTGAATTGTGTTCTACATTTTTCTCCCATTCTGTCTGGGACCCTCTATTGTGATCCCTGTCAGAGCAGTTGGTGGTGGTAGCCAGGCACCATTTAGTTCTGGGCTCAGGATAGTGGATGCTGTGTTTCATGCGGTCCATTAGTCCTTGGATGAATATTTTCCTTATGTCTTTGGTTCTCCTCATTCTCCTTTGCTCTGGATGGGATGGGACAAATAGATCTTAGATGGCCGCTCACAAGCTTTTAAGACCCCAGACACTACTTACCAAAGTAAGATGTAGAACGTTTTCTTTATGAGCTATGCCAGTTGACCTAGATGTTCCCCAAGACCGTGGTCCCCAGCCCTCAGCGCCAGTAACTCCATCCCTCAAGGTGTTTGGATGTGTCTAGGAAGCTTCTATGACTGTGCCCCTCTGTGCTTTATCATATATATGAATATATATGCTGTACATGCAATATGTATGTACAAATATCCATAGCCTAAGCTATATATATATGTGGGTATACTCCTATATGTCCTTCTTCCCTTTTTCAGCAGACATATCTGCCTATATATCTGCCTGTTATTTTTACTGTTGTTATAGGATTGTATACGCTATAGTATTTACTATGGTTGCCTTTTTTTTTCCTCCCATGTATTCCTCTTTCTTTGCCTTGTTGAAGTTGTAAGGGCTTCCCCTATGCTGTGTATTGTCTTTCCCTTCACCAACGTTAACAGTTGTCTACTATCTATAGTTAATGATTTCCCTTCCCTCCCTTGTAACCATCAAAGATTGTTTCTTTCTGTGTGTAAACCTTTTCTTGAGTTTTTATAATAGTGGTCTCATACAACATTTGTTCTTTTGTGATTGGCTTATTTTACTCAGCGTAACACCCTCCAGATTCATGCATGTTGTGAGATGTTTTGCGGATTCATCATTGTTCTATATTGTTGCATAGTATTCCATTGTACATACCATAATTTGTTTATCCATTCATCTGTTGATGGGCACTTAGTTGTCTTCATCTTTTTGCTATTATGAATAATGCTGCAATCAACAGGGATGTGCATATGTCTATTCCTGTCATGGCTCTTCTCTTATTTCTCTAAAATATATTCCTAGGTGTGAGACTGCTGGTTTGTATGGTATTTCTATTTCTAGCTTTTCAAGGAAGTGCCATATCATTTTCCATAGTGGTTGCACCATTTTACATTCCCACTAGTAGTGTATGAGAGCTCCAATCTCCCCACAACCTCGTATTTATTGTTCTTCTAAATTTTTGATCAGTGCCATTCTTGCATGGATTAGACGGTACCTCATCGTGGTTTTGATTTGCATCTAATTGCTAATGATCGCGAGCATCTTTTCAAGTATTTGTTGGCCACCTCAAATGTCCTTTTTGGTGAAGTGTCTGTTCATGTCCTTTGTTTTGTGATTGGGTTGCTTGTCTTTTTATTGTTGAAGTTTTCTGTGTATTTTAGAGATTAAATCTTTATCAGATATGTCATTGCCAAAGATTTTGTCCCAGTCTGTAAGTTCTCTTTTTACTCTCTTGGAAAAGTCTTTCGATGAGCTGAAGTGTTTAA